ATGCAGAACTGGATGTCTCAGATCTTGCGGTATAGCCACTGAAATATGGGGCTACCTCTCTATACATTATCGACCTCCCCCCCCCCCCCCTCTATTCTACCGGGGTAAATATTGTGTCTTCCTTTTTCCATGTCTCTTGGTCTGTCTGAACAGTTTATGTCGCGCACTTTCTCTGAATAATTTCTCTTGCCATGGAGTTGAAAGTCATGAGTGAAGCCACAAGAAGGTCTAGCTAAATGCCTAATCATACGTTTAGCCAGACAAGCAAAAAACACTTTAGGAAACGGTGCGTCACAGCTATATGCACGTGAGTCCTGATCCTCTGACGACAGACACTGGGAGAAGAATTAGAGCAGTTGATATGAGACGCTTCCGTAAACTGCTTGACATCTCATACATAGACCATGTCACCAATGAAGAAGTGAAATTACGCATAAGAAATGTAATCGGGCCTTACACCGACTTTCTATCATTGGTCAAGCAACGCAAGCTGAAATGGTATGGCCTTGCCATGCGTTCCCCATTATCGATCGTCAAACTTGGGTATAGGGGCGAAAGACTAATCGAACCATCTAGTAGCTGGTTCCCTCCGAATTTTCCCTCAGGATAGCTGGCGCTCGATCGCAGTTTTATCCGGTAAAGCGAATGATTGATAAAAGCTAAAACCATTCTACAAGACACTGTGGTACAGGCAGGACGACGAAGAAGGGACAGACAGAGGAAGAGATGGGAGGATATCATCCCAGAATGGACAGCCATGGAGCTGCCTGACACACTGAGGAAAGCGAAGAGCCGAAAGGAGTGAAGATTTGTTGTCATCTATCGGAGGCCACCCAACGGATGACAAATCTAAGGGAGGCAGACGATCTCTCTTCCTCCTTGAATGGTTAAGTTCACCATCAGTTAATGATGAACGAACTATTTATGTATTTGAGGTGAATCAGTTCAAGTGTTATTGTGTACGGTGAATTGAGAATAACAATAATATGATGCTGACGCAAAGAATTTAGGCTACCACGTAGGTGTATGAGTTGGGATGGGCTGTGTGGAAGAAACACTGCTTCAAAAAATAACACTATGATTTTATATGAGGATGTGTCTTTGCTGATTAGTTTTCTCCTATGATGACTGGAGAAAATCATTTTACCAAAGCTGCCAACTCCGTTTTGGTTTGCTTTTAGAACAACTTTGCACCTTGATCTCTTTCTATGTGTTGATTAAGTTGATTAAAAGAACTGGGAAAATTACCCTATTCACTGAGGGGAACCTCTAAGTTATGCATGCTAAGGTGATATTTTTACCGTTACCTTTTCATCTTCTGCTGCCGTTGAACCTCGAGAGGAGATGCAAGTTTTCTATGGTTGGCCAACTGTTGGCCAATGCGTGTGTTGTAAGATAAGATAAGACACACCTTTATTGTCTAGATCCTGGCACATGGATTTGGTGTTTCACCACGTACACTCATACACATACACACACACACACTCACACACACACACACA